GGAGGCCTGAGGAGAGGGAGAGAGATGGGGAATGGCTGGTTGGTGGAACAGTCAGAACACACAAATTTATCAATTAAGTGATGCCCCAAAACAATTAAAACACTAACATCAAAGATCCCTGATCACAGATCACCGTAACAGATATAGTAATAAAAAAAAGTTTGAAATATTGCAAGAATTACCAAAATGTGACACAGAGACATGAAGTGAGCACGTGCTGTTGGAAAAATGGTGCCGATAGACTTGTTTGATGCAAGGTTGCCACAAGCCTTCAATTTGTACATAACAGTATCTGGGAAGCACAGTAAAATGAGGTATAAATAATAATGCAGACAGCATACATTTAGACGAATAATGGGCAACATACAGTTTTTTAGTATTTTTGTTTTCCTAATAAAAGGTATTTCGACAAGCAAGAGCAAATACTCCAGCAATTGTATTTTTGGATGAAATTGATTCAATCTTGGGATCTCGATCAGTCAGCCAAACAGGATGTGATGTTCACGAGCGAGTTCTTTCTGTCCTCCTGAATGAATTGGATGGTGTTGGCCTGAAGACCATAGAGAGAAGAGGAAATAAATCAGATCGACAGGGTAAATACCAGGAGCTGGAAAAAAGTGAAGAGGTATTTATTTTCAGGAATTTATTAGTCATAATACCTGAAACATCTGAACGCATGTACACTGTAGCTTTTCCTATGCTAGATTCATCTTATGGAGGGAATTATGTAATTTCAATTTTACTGTCAGGAGTTTTACAGAGCTGGTTAAAACTGTGATTCTGTTAGTAAAGGTGAGTTAAATTTTATAATAAATTATCTTAGATATACGTGAATGTGAATTTTCTTTTTCAACATTTTCAAAGATTTATAAACATAAGCTTACTTATCACTAATGGAAAAGGAAGTTTATTATTTCTCAGTCCTGAAGAACCCCTTTTTAAAAAATTTTTTATGTAAAACAAAACAGGTTATTATTTCCAATAATCTTAGTAATTGAAAAACTTCCAGTTTTCTTGAGGAATGGTTTTCCTTGATTATAATGAAGTTAAAATGACCCCGAGAAGTTCCTTTCCTCTCTTTCTGAGTCTGTTCTCCAAGCAGAGTTTAGTTTCCTTAAATTATCACTGACATCATTTTACTTTTCTTTCATTCTTTCCGTGTTCTTGTTTTAAAAACTGTTCTACAGAAGCAGAGTCTTACAGCTTCTTAGTAACACAGCACAGTACAATTGGAAGGAACCCATCAGGCTATCTAATCAAATCTTCTTATAATCAAGGAATTCCTTCTGCAGCCTCTGGCTGGGGTCATCGCCTCTGCTAGCATACTTGCAGATATAGGGAACTCATTACTTTGAGAGATCATGACACCTGAGAACTGCTCCCATTATTCTCGTCAACAAATGTTTTTTGAGTGCTTAGTGTGTGTAAGGTCTGGCTATGGCTGCTTTTCGACATTTCTTATCTTCAGCCAGAATTTTCAAACCTGCAATTTATGTTAATTGTCATATTTCTGCCATCTGGGAAGAAAAAAATAAAAAGTAAAGTAAGACTTCCACTTCAAGAACACGATAGTCTAGGCTTTTCATAGCCATATGTTTCCACATGCTAGTCATATTGCTTGCTGGGGATCTTTTCAAGTAGACTGTTTAAATTATAATCATTAATTGGAGGTTCAGATGCATTCGGGTGTTCTCTGCTGTGGTCTAAGGCTTTTCTTGTTTCTCACAGGGCCTGGAGAAATGTTCCTTAGGATTAACCACACCCTTTGCCATGCAAACAAAGTAGCTCTTTGATTAATAGTTTGTTTCTTGGGTATCTTAATATCAGGACGGTGGTCTGGATAGAGGGTGATCCCAAGAAAAGGCTATTCTCCTTTAAAAACAAATGGACCTTCTGGTTTATACTTTTTAAAAAGACATATAATCATTAACAACTTAATGTTTTAATTATTATGTTACTTTGTGTTTTCCCTCAGGTAGAGTTCCAAGAAGTTTTTAATGGAAATGTCATGATTATTGCAGCAACAAATAGACCTGATGTGTTAGATGATGCTTTGTTACGGCCTGGAAGATTAGATAAGATTATTTACATTCCACCTCCAGATCCAAAGGTAATCACTGTACACACATTTACCCTGTGTAAAGCATTCTTAACAACACACCAGCATATGAGCTCCAAGGAGCGTGGCAGAACCAGATTCCAAACGGGATATAGGTGTTCATGGTGTCTTAGTCATACCAGGCTCTGCATTCTTCCTCACCTGCTAGCCCTGCGTGAAATCACAAGTTTTTGCCGGTACTCTGGCCTGGCCCTGTTTTCAGGAAAACATAAGCCTAAAAGTAAGGAACTTCTCTTATTTCAGTGTTGTGGCAGATTCAAAATACTGAGTCTTTTAAGTCTACTCAGTAGTAGTTTGCAGACTAGAATGGAGGAACCCTGAAGGGCTAGAAGGGCTCAGAAGGGTTTTGGAGGTTATATGGATCAGCATCCTCATTTTACACTGGAGAAAAATTGTGTCTGATATTCACGTATTTGCTTCTTAAACCAGGTCTCATGGTACTCTTTGTACCCAAAAGAGAGCTTCATTTTGTCTCTTAAAGGGGTATACCTATCTATGATTGGCAGTTTTAAAAATTAATTATAAAAGTATTAAAAGTTTCTCATGATTTCATTAATTATTTTTATCATTGTCATAAGGGCTACTGCTGATTAACCTTTTTTACACCTTCAGAAGCAGGAAGTGATTTTTTTTATTGTTTGATTATGTCTCTCTATATATTTCCTGTAATATGATAGGAAACTGTAACTTGACATGTTTTAATATCGTATTGTGTCAGACATGGGTGTTGCAAGATTATAAACATGTTGTTTCTTATTTTGCTCCAGGGCAGGCTTTCTATTTTGGAAGTCTGTACAAAAAACATGCCAGTGGGGCCTGATGTTTCTTTAGAAAACCTAGCAGCAGAAACCCGTTTTTTCTCTGGAGCTGATCTTAGGAACCTCTGCAGAGAAGTGAGTTCATTAACGAAGAAACTTGTGGTTGAAAACATTTCTTCATTTATTTGGATCTTCATTCACTTGGCAGGGTTTATCAAAAGATTTCTCTGTGACAGGCATCTTCCCCTCACAGAGCGTACAGACTGTGGGTGGGGGAGACAGAGGCACAGACTGAGCATCTGTAGACAGAGCACAGACTGAGTATATGTAGAGAGAGGCACAGACTGAGTATATGTAGAGAGA